ATGATTCTATGATTCTATGAGGACAGTGGCCAGATGCCGAGTGGAGAGCTCTGGGCTGTGTGCTTTGGTATTTGACCGGCTCAACCCTCTGCACGGCTCTTTAATACCACCTGCTGTGCTGAATGGCCTGATCCTGCATCAGTGCTCTAGCAAGCGCATCGAAATCCACCACCTCACTGGCGTTGGTTAGCACGAAGCGGGATTATGGAGCATTTTGCTGAATCAGGCTAACCACTAAGAACAGACTAAAATGCTTTGTGAAACAGGACATTTGTACTGTGAAACAGTACATTTCTTTTATGCAGTGTCTTGTTAGTCAACACGGTCTTCAAGTGTGTTAGGGATTGGACAACTTGTTGCCAACAGTGCAGACCAGCCAGATTTGAGCTACAGTGTAGTTTGTTAGGCTAACATAAAAAGCTGGTCTGCCTTTCTGTATGAAGGCAAAAAAACCAAACCAAAACAAAACAAAAGCACCAGGAATGGTACCTACCGCAATGCCAAGAATATCAAGCAAGAGAAGAAACCTACTCAAGCGAGTCTGGAAACTGTTTTAACCAGGAATCATTGGGTGTTTTTCTTAATGGGGTGCTAAGCTCCATTAGCAAAAGTGATGTGACCTCACCATGATTGAAGTGTATTTAAAAGCCTGATATAACAATATTTTCGGAGTGGAGAAAAGACATTTTTAAAGCTATCTTGGAAATGTTAAATAGACTGTATTTGTAGCAATTAATTCGTAACATTTTTCATCTTATTTCTTCAGGAATACACATGTTCCTACAACCAGGCAACAGAAAGACAGAAAACAGCCCTAAAGATATCCACATACACGCTTTCACCGCAAGACTGCCTGGGAGCAGGGGCGTTAAGTTTGCAACCCGCCAGAGCGGTTCACCCCACCTAGAGCTGGCAGCCTCCTCCACAAGGGAAAGTATGGCAGGCCGGATGAGCTGCTTGAGAGGTAACACTGTTCCCAGCCACCACTTTCCAGGGGGAAGAGCAGGGTCCCACCAGCTGCCCTGGTAGCAGCAAGACAATGGAAACCCAAGGGTATATCCTCCACTTGCACACTGTAGGCGCGTGCACAAAAAGCCCAGTATCTGGAGACAGCAGAGCTGCAGCACGTGCAACAGCCAGCTGCTCTGCGCAGGACGCAGGCTGCACACAAGGGTTTCATGGCCCCACCGCTGCTGCTCAGCCAGAAGGGCTGAACCCTTCGTTTGCGGAGCACCTGCAACCTCAGGCGGTGGAGGAAAAGCCAAACACCGCAGCAGGCTTTCACTCTACAGCCGAGGTAGGTAGCTACAGCTGCCTTTATATCCAGCAGACACGCACATTTTCAGGACTCAATTTACTTTGCAATTTTAGGTATCTACTTGAAGGAGATGAATCGTACCTAGATCCCATCTTTCTCCGCTAGCCAGAGAAAGAGCTTTGACTATTTCAGATGCAGATAGCTACAGTTACTCAAACTGATCCCACCCCTTGACAGTCTTAACTGCCCAGCTTCAAAACTCAGGCACACAAAGTATGCCAGTAAACTAATGGGCAAGTCTGAGCTGTGAGGCCGGAGATGACACTTTCCACACAAAGGAGTTCAGTTTTGAACTCGCATTGCATAAAAAGTAAAAAAAGGAAAGACGTGCACGGCTGCACAACCTCACTGGTTGTCTGGGATGGTGTGTACTACTGCAGGCAATGTTTGCTGTGATCTCTAGCCCTACTGTCCTCTGCCATCCAGTGAATGAAGTTACTCAGGCATTGGTTTGTCAAAATTTTGCTGTCACACAACCCGAGGCTCACATTTATTAAGATTAGAAAACCTGTGCTTACCCATTCCCACCTTCCCAAAAGCAGTTGTGTTGAAAGGAAGGATTGGTACTGAGGAGTTGTGGTTAAAATTTAAAATCTGACCTTATGGATACACTAAATTGTTCCAATTTCTTGTTCTAGCAGTCAGCAGCTTTTATTTTTCTTTTTTCTTTTTTTTTTTTTTTTTTTTACAGAGAAAAAAAACCTTTTCACAAGGAGAAAAAAAAATGTTCAAAAAACCTGACATAATTTCCATAAAAAACAGTATCAAAACTCCACTAAAAATTGAAAATTTTAATCTTGGAACAATGACCTTTTTACAAAGAGATTTTAAAGATTTGAGTGTACATATTCACAAACCAACAAACTAAGGCATAATCTCCATAGCCATGTCTACAAATTAAAGACTTTGAAAAGCCATGTGACTTGATCGCATTTAAACCTTGTCAAGATACAGGCAGTAAAACTTTTGAATATTGGGCTTACTTTTACATGTAGTGGACTGTCGGCTTATACAACTATCATGACTATGAGCTAGGTTAATTTCAAATCACCGAAACAAATACTGTAGTAAAAGCATGAAGCTTAAACATCATTTTAAAGTGCTCATTAGAAACGCAACATTTCTTAGAAATCTTAAAGATATTACATTCCTTACATATTGAGTCTGAAAGTACAGTATGTACACAATCTACAGGCTTGCTTGTATAAATAGGAAATAATTTATCTCTCTATCTCAAATGTGACTAGTAGCTGAAGGGAAGCTGAAAGACTATTTTGATTTGGCCAGAAAAAGGAAAGAAACAGAACAGTCATCCCCTACATGCAGCCACCGGAATTCTGAATCCCAAGTGCTGCCATTTTGGCCAGCCACCGGAATTCTGTATCCCAAGTGCTGCCATTTTGGCCAATCTCCTTGACTAATTCTCTTTACACCCACTCATGAAGCATCTGCCGGTACGTTGCCAGTAGAGAATTACAGCATCTCTCTTGTAACGGAATTGCTTTGGGTCCCTAGAACTGGCAACGCTGCTGCTAAGAGGAAATGTAATGAGACGTCAGTCCCTTAATTAAACAGAAGAAATATGCACTGCACTGTATTCCATTTTGCAGAGGTAAAAGAACTCCAAACTAGGCTGTCAAACAACAAAAATTTGGACGTTTTTCAGTTTTTGAATGAACTGTAGTGCTTATAAAAAAAAAAAGACAAAACTAATTAAGAGGCATCTGTGACAAATTTAAAAGCCTCCATCAGCTTTCTTATAAAGCCCTAACCAGTTCCTTTCAATCCAGAGCAGCAGTATGTTTGCTAGTCAGTCTCTTGTCCTGACAAGAGCTCATCAAACCTCGCCATCTCACTACCAGTCCTCTGTGATTTTGACTTCACAGTTCTGCAGCATGTGGTATTACCCTTGTGCACAGGTTAAGCCTGTTTCATGCAGGACTAATACCAGGTACCTGTGAAACATTAGTATTGTACATCACTGCAGTCCCCACAGCGCACACACTTTTCAACAATCTGCCTCCAAGTACAACATGACAAGCTTTCAAAAATACAAGCAACCTTAAAAAGCAAGACCCAAGAGCTCATGAAAGTACAATAAAAAATATTTACCTTCCTCTCATTGCTCTTCATTTCTCAGCTGCCATGAAGGGCAACATTTCATTTTTTCCCCAATGTTGCAACTGGACTTTGTAATTTTCAGACAGATATAAAAGTATACTCACGCACATACAGTAGCATGATTACAGTAAAATCAAAAGCCACAAAATAAAGTAATGGTGAACATTCCATAAGTGGAATTTTAACTTTTGGTCAACAGTTCTGCTAGGCTAAAGGCAAAAATATGCTGTACAAAATCACTTTAACATCTGTATGAATAAGCCTCGTTTACTTTAGCCTCAGCTTAGTGCGGTCAGCCCGAGCTATGCGATTTCTTAAAGAGAACAGGTAGACAGGAGATTGCAAAGCTGTATTTCTTCCCTATTTGTACCCATTACCAGATTCTTCCCTTGCAAAACAACATTCATGTGAAAAAATTTACTGTGACGCTCAGAAGAGTTGAAGGCAAACACATGTGTATGGGCAACAAAAGCTGTCAAGGTGACAAAAGATTCAATGGACTGCTTTGTTCTCCACCTGCAGCAAGCTTGAGCGTTGTTAGCTTTCGAGGGGGATGCTGAGGACTCTTACGAAGGTTGTCGTCCATCTGCAGAGAAATAACGAGAGCCGGATCTGGCAAACCATAGAATATAAATTATATGATATTTGTCAGGCTGCCATCATTAATGCTGGTTTGGGGTATTTTTTACCCTGTTATTTCAGGCCCAGCCAAAACTGATGCCTTGGTTCCTTTCCACTCCCAAATATCTGCTTGTGTTAAAGCAGCTATTCATTCCATTAGCATAGGTGCATCAAACTCAGGGCAAATAGGTGTGCCCCTGCTCAAATCATTTTGTCAAGACTGCTGAAGAAAGCAACATTGCTACCTTCTCCAGGAGGTCAAAGTTTCCATTTTGTACAATAGCCAAACACTGCTAGAAAGCAGATTGAAAGTCAAACTGCTAACATCAATGGATGCTTTTCAATGTTCAGAACCTTGCAAGAACAAATCTTTTTCAAATTAGAAGTATTCTGGAGGTGCTGTGTGAATTCAGATTAGTTACAGATTTCAAAAAGTATTTAATAAAGAACTTGTGGTAAGACCTTTTCAAAGACAGGTTAAAATTAATCTCTGAATATAAAAATTTTACATTTTCATAGGAAATCAATCTCATGCCCTGTGCATAGTGAGGTATCAAAGAGTCTAGTTACTACAGAATAAACAGAAGCACAGAAGACAGCACAGGGGAGATCTCCAGAGGTTGTCTAGTCCATCCCATTTCCTCAAGGTAGGATCAGCTTTACCTAAATCATGCCTGACAAATGTCTCTGTAACCCATTCTTTAAAGCTTCCACAGCCACACTCCAATATCACAAAGAGGAGATACAATCAATACCTAATGCTACAGAAGCTGATCATAATTAATGACCTATTTCATACACTGATCTGTTTCACGAAGAACTGCCCTCTACCCTTCCAGTTGAAGTGTTCTGTCTGCATCAGAAGACTAATTCTTCACAAGTATTTTTCACACAAGTTGTATAGCTTTTGATAGGTGCTGAGTGACAGCCTTGGAAACAAAGAATATAAAGAAATAAAAGCTAGACGTAGAACAAGCAGGAGAAACAGTGACTGTAGGTTAGTGACTACAACATTCAGGTAGGAGCAAGGAGAGCTGGTGATTGTTCTTAACTTGCAGGACCATTTCTGAGTTTTGATCAATACATTTGCCTCCTCCTTTGCTGGAATGTACGCTTGCAGAAAGACACCCTTCTTTTGTTGGTATGCACACTTGCAAGACAATGTTCTTTTGATTGCAATAAAAATACTTTTTAAGTACAAGGCTTCATTAATTATTCCTTTCAAATGACATAATATTCTTCCTGCCTCTCTACACAAAGTAACTCACTAGAAAAAGAAGCAATTAAAATAAAATGTCCATTGTACAGTTGCAGTTGCCATGCAAGAATATCTGTGAACAAGTAACCACAACGAAGCAGGAAAATTAGAGACTGAAGCAAAAGTAACCTTTTCAATCAAGTTGGATTCCTTATTTACAAGCTGTGTGAGTTTCTGCAGATTAGCATCTGCTGTATCCTGTCCAGCCGGAGAATGGCCTGGAGAGTGAAGGTAGAAAGATGAAGAGTGAAAAGGTATTTTAAAAAGCTTTTAAATCCTTAAAAGATAAACCCACATTGGAGAGAAACTCCATGCAGTATTTTTATCCTAAGAAGAATTTAGGCAGAAAAGCCATTCCATGTGAGAAAAACAGAAGCACTAAGCATGAACCACAGCATGGATACAGGTGCATTTTGCCAATGCTTGACAGAGTGTAAAACTGAGAATTAACCCTTGCTTTTAATTTTCAATACTTTCTGCGTAACTTTGCAAGCTTCTCTACCTGTAATTTCCCCACAGAAGCTCCAGCATAAACTACATAAAATCTAATTCTGCCTTGGTTCACAGATGGAAACCTGGAGTCCTAATCCAAACAAGATTATACCTGACAAAAACAGGAAAAGAAAACAGCTTACCTGAGACAGTTAACCTGAAGTAGCAAGTTAAAATATCATCACAGAATCGACACATATTGGGAAGCTGTTTCAAATGCTCTTGTAATTGTACTCTGGGGAAACACACTTTGTAAATTGGTGCAAGGAAACCAAACACAAAGGCATCCAAGGTAGTAGGCCTGAAAAGAGTGACAAAACAAAAAAAAGACCCGAAGTGACTGATATAAGACATTAAAGACCTTTACAACACAACCATTTTCTATGTATGTCAAACACAACTCAGGACAGAACACAGTCAGCTCTTCTGGCATTCCATCTTTTCATATCAATCTGGTAAATGCTTTGTACAGAGTACAGACTATTGACCGATTTCAGCCCCTCTGAACTAGATACATGCTGGCAAGCTGAAACAGTAACTTCAGCATTAAAATCCAGACATGCTGTCACGTACGCTGGTAAACAAGCCACTCTAAAACACATTTCTGGCACCACAAAAGCCAAGGTGTATGCCAGGGGACCAGGATCCTCTTGCATGAAGTGGTCCAACAGCTAAAGGAACAGATCATCCTTTTTAGGACCTGTTGGCAGATGTTGTTGGCAGTATCTGCTTCTTGCTCTGTACACATACCACAGGAAGAGGAGTGTTCCCAGACCTACACCCTCCTCCCATGACGGCAGTCGTAACACCTCAGGCTTAAAGCATTTCTTCTACATACAAGCACAGGTGACATTCAGTGGCTAGAAAAGCATTCTCTAGTGCTACACTAATTCATCAAGCACCCCCCATTTTCTTAGCAGCTGTGGGCAGCACCTGCCTCTCTGTGGAAAAATGTAGGATAAGGGAGACACCACATTGCCTTAGTCCAAAGATGATGTTTGTGCCCCGTTTGCTCATTCAGATTTATCTGAAAAGCAGAGTGTGAGACATGATTCTATGAAACCACTGTGCAGCACTTTTAACATTCTGTCAGGTTAAAAAGTGTTCACAGAGTCATGTGGTATCTGTTTTATTAATCATTTAAAAAAAAAAAAAAAAAACCACACTCACGTATCTCCAAAGAAAAACTGAGATGTTCCCAATCTCTTCGACAGGAGATTTAGGCACTCCTTGGCATCCCTGTATATCTGATGAGACACAAGACTGTCTAAGAGCCCTAGGTGTAGCAAGGCTAGCATGCACAGCATTGTTCAGCATTTGACAGTGTGCTAAACTGTTCCAGTTCTTGTCTTTGACAGCACCAACTTACAAATTCTTTACTACATAACACATACCTGTGCTTCCACTTCAGTGAGACTGTAGAGTGGAGGCCCACCCCTGGTCAGCAAGATCCTGTTCAGCGCTTCCCTGGACATCTTTCCAGGCAGATACAAACTCAGGGGGAAGGGAATCCTTGAGGCAAACCATGGCTTTGTCACACAGCAGTAATTTTCAGCCTCAACCCAGAAAGTGTGCAGCTGTATCAACATAGGAAGAATATGACTGAAATTTGAGTAAGAATAGCAGACTTCTCTTGAAAGTCTGATGTGTACGATCTCTGTCAGAGAAGCAGAAGCACTAGGAATTATTGTAATTTAAGGCAGCCATGCTCCACAAAGGATTATACTTTGAGTGTAGGAGTATGTAATTAAGGCAACAGCTACCTTCCACGTAAAGAAAAACAACAAAGGTATTACTTAGACCTGTACACATGTGCATAAAATTACATACTCACTCATGTTTATGTATGTGTGTATATATATACACACTCAAACACACACGCTGTACATAGAAAATATATTGCAAAAAAAGTTGCAGACATACAGATCAGGTTTGAACTTTTTAGAATTTTTTTAAAATTGTATATAAATCTTAAAATAAAAGATATTATGAAATGATTAATTCGAAACCTTGTGGGTCAGCTGAAGAGGCTAGCCTATGATATCATCTGGTCAGAATATTTTTTCCTGTACGAACTGAAGCCAAAGTCATTCAAGAGAACCACTGTCCCGAGATTTTTAGGGCTCTAACATACTTACACTAAATTCGTGACAGCATGTGGCCATGTGTTACTTAGAACCGAAAAATGAAACTACTGATGGGTATTTTGATTTCTCAAAGGTTCTAACCAAAGAGTTCAAAAAGCTTTCACAGTTGTACACCCCATATCAGACACACATATTTTACTCAAAGCTTTTTCAAAAGATTCAAATGAAACAAAAACTGGCCAGAATAAGCTGTTTTCAGGACACTGTTTCCCAAAAAGTATCTAAAAGAAAAAACATTCATAGGTGCCCTTTTAAAAGGCCTTTCATAAATTCAGTATCATTACTTCACACGCCACAAACACACACTTCTTCCCTTTTCAAAAGTTGCTAGGCACTATTTCCAAAATTGGACTAACAAAGCCAATACATTCCAGCCAGAACTATGGCTGAGAGACTTCAATGTCTCTCATGTTACGCACCTCTTGTAGCATTCACTTGCAAAAATTCTGACCATTATAAAGTATTTCCCAATACTTACCAGAGCAGGAAGCAGTTTCTCTTCAAGTAGTGCAATATATGCCAGTGTATCAGCTCCTTGCTTTGCAGACAATTCATAATCAGCGTTGTATTTCTACGAATTAAAAAAAAACAACCCATACTACAAATAGTGTTACACAGAACGTTCCAAAAAGACAACCCATGCAACCGGAAGTTGCTTCAAACTTAACAGCTATCAAGTTATTAAATATAACAACATTTTGCAGGACAGAAAGCATGCATGTACTAGAATTTCTTTCCTTCTGCACACCTCCTTGCATCTCCCTTTTCCACCTTCCCATTCTTAGATTTTTGTGCCCTCCTATTGCCAAAATAACTCTTGTGCCTCCTTCCCATTGCTTTCCAAGCAACTGTCCAGTGATAGAGAGGTAATTTTTCAGTACTTAGGGCTGTAGCAAACCTCTGGCAAGTCCCCATCTTTATTTTTGAAGAAGCATCTGGCACTTCAGCTGGTGTAAGCGTAAAAAAAAAAGGCAAGCATTCCCATCTTTTGCTTTTAATTACCGTTCTAAAAGTTTAGAAATTGGATGCTAATGATATAAGGGACCAAATGCACAGCTAAATTAATGCAGTTACAGCTGCCTGAGCTTTTAATTCTTAGACAGAATCCTTTTAAGGTACATTAAAAGGGTTGGTAAGTTTTTTGGGGGGAGAGGAGATTCGCTTTATTAGTTTAGAAACAAAGGGTCAGTGCTGACCCTTATTTTTAGATATCTGAAAAGCAAGCATGCTATTTTTATACTTGAACTCAAAGAGGGTTTTTTTCCCCAGCATTAAGGAATCTTTGGTGTTCGAATGGCTACGAAACTTCTGAATTCTAAAATCCCATCTGAAATGTGCCGTTTTCAGATTCTGTTTTTCTCCCCACAAAGATTTACAGTTTCACTAACACAGCATTCATCAGATCATCTTCTAGGCTAGGCAGGAACCGAATTTCTAATGTAAAAGCAGAATAGTGGGCCAGCAGACTGTCTTAAGAAATAAAAAGATGATACCATGCTTTATTAGACATCTTCATACTTTGTGAAAAGAAGAAATGGTATAGCTTTATTCTTTGTGAATAGAACATTAAGAGATCTGCAAAAGGCAAGCCAGAGTTGACTATGCAATAACACGATGCGCATCAAGAAATGCTTGCAGACATTTTTACGCTACAAGCTATAGAAAAACTACGCAGATTAAAAACAATGCTGTATGTACTATCCTTCAAAAAAGAGCACTGGGAGATGATTACCCATTTAAGCAGTTAAAACCATGCTTCCCAAACTGTGATATCCTAGGTCTGCAAAGCCATAATGACATTAAAATTGTTATAATTAAAAGCAGAGTGCTCAGTGAGAAACTCCTCAATTAAGGCCAGTTTGTTGTCCTTTTCAATGAACAGTTTTCTTGTGCCTATTTTTAAATCTTTCACATGACTAACAATCAAACTTTCAAAGAGCAATCTATAATCCACCATTTTGCAATTCTCATCCATGTATGAAGAACAGGAAAGCACTGGGTCTGAACTGAGTTCCAGGTTTTCAGAAGTCTGTATTGATGTATACAGGGGACATACAGAGTCACTACAAGGCAGAAAAAACAAATCTTTTGAAAGAGACCTACCTGCTTTCTTAGGAAGCTTAGTATTTTTGCTGGCTGAGAAATAACAATGTCTTCTGATATCAGGACTGGCACTTCTCCTAGAAGGCATAAATAATACTGTCAACAATTTATATCGATGAGTTCTAACATAACTAGAAAGCCATCAGTCACTTCATCTGCTTTCTTTTTCTCCATAGCATGCTCCGATATCCCTAACATGCACACATAAACTAAGCTTTACACAGCAGGGTAGTTCCACCAAGGTCACAAATACATTTAGCGTATTGTGGCCTTACGTATAACAACACATAAAAAAGGGCCCACATCAAATCAGACTGAAGCCAATGTCTTCTGCTATGTATCTGATACTTTAAGAACCAGGCTACTTGTCTGGATTTCAGACCTTAAAATGAAAACTTCAACTCAGTCCAACTGTCCTCTCAACTCATTCACCTCTGGGCCTTTCCTCTCCAATTTTTCCCTGCTCTTCCCCTCCATATCCATTTTAACCACAAGTTTTCTCTAGCCTTACTACAACCCCTGCCCAAGCTGCCACTGCATAACCATGAACTATTCCAGAACCAAATAATTCTTTTCTGCCAGAAGCTAACGGGTCAGCCTTTACTCATCAGATTGCAGGATCTGCAATACTGTAGAGTATAAAATCTCTATAACAGGACCTATCTTAGAGGATGTTCACAACAAGAAAGCCACTGAACTTTTGGCAATTATACCCAGCTAGTTCTTGGTATTTTCTACTAACAGAAAACAATACACTGAAAAGCAAGAGTCGAAGGCGCAACTTTTGTGTGGATACAGTAATGCCTAAACCGATGACGTAGTAAGTGTAAATAGCAGAGTACTTTAACCCTGCAGTGATTTTACTTCTCTGGAATACACCAAGACAATAACTTAAATGCTGAGCAAACAGATAAGCAACAAGCAGAAGTATCCAACATGAAAAAGTCCTCTCTGATACCTTATCTTCAACTTCTCTGGCAACTAGGTTGTTAGCCACCTTTTTTGAGTCAACATCTCTAACGCAGCACAGTACTAAACATCCCAGCTGGTGCAGGTTACACTCTTTGAGGCTCACATTCCACTTCCAACTGTACCAGCCCATTAAATTATGTATAATTAAAGAACGCTATTTTCATACACAAGTCTAGTTACTATCATTATAAATATGCAAAGCGTAGAAAGCTTAAAAATTTGCTTTCACTATACCATCAATTTAGAGTGCCTGACAGAAACAGGTATGTACGTGGCACCACTGCTTTGTTGACTGTCCGCTGCTTCACCCATACACATTTTAATAAAGTGTTCTTTGAGGCACTTTATTAATGTCTTCCATTATTTTATTCCCACAAATTCATCACACTTGATCATGTGAAGTCATTCACCGATGTACTGTGAAAGCAGGTAGCCTTCCTGAGGCGCGTTATGAACACAAAACCAAAGCACACTGAGAAACAACACAGAAACTGGAACCCGTTTTTACAACATGGCTATGAGGAAAAGAATAAAAAATGCAAAGAAGGTACCTTTCGGAGCTCTCCAAGAGCTACTTATAGTATTCACTGTCAGGGGAGCACCGGAAAATTTGGCGTAAGCCTGCAATAAAGATTGCGGGGAAAAAAATGCAGTCAGTATGCGTAAGGGAAGTCTAAGACCGCACTTTAAAAGTTGTTTTAAACAGCTTTCCCAATCGGCGGCTAGGAAATGCCGCCCGTTAATGCCGAGGCAGGCAGCCCCCGGGAAGGCACGACCCTCGCAGAAGGCAGCAGCCCTGCCCGCGGCTCGGCGGGG